TGGACATGTTCTATGTAGCTTTGCTGGTATGAAACGCTCTACGTAGACCAGGCTGACCTCAAACCCAGAGAGAGCTCTGCCTGCCTCTGCTTCCAGAATGCTGAGATTAAGGACTGCCATCTCATGCCAGGTTATATTTTTCTACACTTCAGTAAACACAGGCTGAATCTTGGGCTATGGTTATAAAATATCCGTGAAACTTAATGCAGCTTGAAGTACGAAGAGCATTAGTTAAGCTCTATGCTTTGGAAACCAAGGGCCAAGAAACAAAGCGAGGGTTTCCCTCGGCACCGATGACCAGCTCTAGATAAAATGGCTGCTCCTTGCTCTGACATCCTTTTAATCCCTTTCCTGTGTCCCACTAGACCTGGATGAAGCTCAAACAATATGGAAGGTGAACAAACAAACAAAAAGAGAAAAGTGATCTCTTTTCTTTTCTCTCCTACCTCTGTGGTACTGCGTCTGTACTACACAGAGCCAACTCAAGCGTGACTGCCTCAGGAACTGACTTTGCATGAGTATTGGCTTCCCCTCCCTCATACTTCTGGCCACACCCATCTTTCATCAAAGCAGTGAGTGTCTGAGGAAAGCTATAGGGAAGTGATCCAAATGAATGAATACATAATTGGACCTATCTATAACTCATCCAGTTGTCTGTATCACCTAAAAAAGTGATAGAAAGCACCAACTTGATTTCTCCATGTCTTGTGACCAAAGGGTGTGGTGTCTTCACCAGCTGAGTCTTAACATCAACCATGAGCAATGGCAATAACCTGTATTGTTTTGGGGTCTCTATACTATCTTTGATCAACATATAGAGGGGAGTTATGCCATGCCGAGGACAGGGCATTTTATTTAGCAACCTGTGCTTCTGAAATGAGCATAATCCTCTTTGTAGGGTAACTTAATACCTTAATAACTTAATAACACACACACACACATACACACACACACACACATACACACACATACACATCATTATATGGTATATATATAAATCATTATATGGTATATAAACTAGTAAGATTCCACATGGCTTTTTCAAACATCCTTAGTGTTGGTTGTCTTTCTCTTAACCCCACCCTCTATTGTATCCTCCCATCCCTCTCCCCACTTCAACCTCCCTCCCACCATCCCCCCTTTCCCCCTTCATACCACTTTTGTTCTGTTAGTCTCCTCCATAAGATCTTTCTTTCCCCATCCCTACCAGTGAACCATTTCTAGATTCCTAGATTATACAGGCAATCCAAATTAAACACACAACTATAAAGAGTCAACAATAAAATCCACATGAGATGTTTGTCTTTCCAGGTCAGCACTAACCAGGAAGCTTCCTCCATACTGGCTAGTTGTCACAGTACTGGAAGACGCTATGCAGACTGCCGAGAGGACAGAGAGTTAGCATCAGTTTTACCCAGCTGTGAGCACTGTGAACTACAATAATGGCCCACATGACAGGATATACCCATGGCCGCAACAGTGGTACAGATGTCATGGGGGTAATCAACTGTTTTCTTATTAAATTTAAGGCCTGCTTCATAGGAGTAAGCATATGCCTGGTACTACAAATTTGGTCAAGAACCCATGGTTGGGAAGTTCACAGGCCCCACATTTAAATCTACTACTATTATTCTGATAAATGGGCATAGTATTAAACTGCCCTCTAAATTCGTATCTCTCTACAAATATATTAGGGAAGCTCTCAGAACTCATCAGATAAGTTTTTGTGTTGGATGGTGGTTAACGCAGAAACTCATAAGAGGTTAACTCAGAGTCAATAGGTTATTGACTATAAAGAGTAATTGACTGAGAAAGGCTCAGCAACAAATGGAATACCTGTGTCACAACTCTCTCCAAGACTCAGGAACCACCACAGATGAGGGGGTAAAAGACTGTAAGAGCCAGAGATTGGGGGGATCTGAAGCAAAATGGCATCTTCTGGGAAAGACAGACCCATGGCACTCAAGAACTCACATCAGCTGCAGATGACCGGACAAGACCAAGCCAGGCCACATTCTAGGACTGAGTGGGAAGGGGTTCATGAACCATCACCCTTAACTGCGGAGCTATGGACAGTTGGGGGCTTCTTGGGGAGGGAGAGTCAGTTTTCTTTAAGGGTGTGAGGCTCCTGGCAGGTTGGCCATGCTGCAGTGGATGGTTCCATACCCAGAAGGATTATGGGTAGCACAAAGGAGAGTCAATAGGTTGTTCACTAAAACAACAACAAAGAAGACAGGAAGTTGGGAACCAGGAAGGTGGGAGCGGATCTTAGAGGAGTTAAGGGGAGGAATTGGGGATGGCAATGATCAAAATATATTGCATAAAATCCTCAAAGAAATAATAAAAATATATTTAGATGATAGCAAATATCACAAATACCAAAAAAATGGGTTTTAAGAGTCTCACAATTTAGCTGGGTGGTGGTGGCACATGCCTTTAATCCCAGCACTCGGGAGGCAGAGGCAGGCAGATCTCTGTGAGTTCGAGGACAGCCTGGTCTACAGAGCAAAATCCAGGACAGGCACCAAAACTATACAGAGAAACTCTGTCTGGTGTGTGTGTGTGGGGGGGGAAGGTTCTCACAACTCTGTGAGTTCAAGGTCATCCTGGTGTACAGAGTGAGTTCAAGGTCAGCCTGGTCTACAGAGAGAGTTCCAGGACAGCCAGAGCTACACAGAGTGGGGGAAAAGATTCTCAGGACTTGGAGTGAGCAGGCATGCCACAATGGTGGTAAGGTCCCATAAACAGAGATCAGCTCTCAAAGTCTACCATCCTTTTACACTGCCTTTGAACTTACAGCATCAAATATGACTTCTTCCTTCTAACCAGGCTATCTCCTTGCTCAGGTAGAGTTTCCCTCTAAGTAACACTGGGGGAATCGAGCGGGGGAGAGCTGCAGCTGGCTGGGTGCTAGGCTCTTTAATGGTGGGAGCGGCTTTAAATAATCTGAGGGAACAAATTTGCATTCTTATGTACACTTGGCTCAGGATTAATTTGGAATTGGTTGTATTTCATCAATGCACCCTACTTCAGAGTTACAAGGGAAATCTCTTTTGATATGAAAACTTGATGGCAGATGGCCCACCACAGATCATCTATGCAACACTGACGGCTGCCTTTTTGTCCTCATAGTCAAATGCATTGCAATTATTTTCTAACTAATTTCATATTTCATTAGAAATCTAGTCTCTGAGCTCTTGGTTGCTTGACGACAGAGCATGCATAATAAAATTCTGAGACAAAAAATAACTATAGAGATACATGTTTTTAAGATTGTTTAAAAGCAGAAGGAGATACTAGCACAGTCTAGGGTAACACATGGTTTTAGTCTCAGTTACAGTTAAAAAAGAACGTTTCACTTCATCATGCTTGGGGGCCCTGATCTGACAAGACTTTCCAGTGTCTCACATGATCAGTAACAAAAACACCACTGGGTGACTTCCAGACACTAAGAAGTTGTTTTAAAGCATCATTTCTTTACATCTTAAACATTAAAAACAATGTAGGGAACAGATTTTCGGGCAGTGAGTTTTAAGACACCAAATGTTAGAATAGTCATTACCTGCAAGGGACCCACCAAGGGCCTGTTTTTAGGTGCTGTGAATGCTTTGAGGACATTGTCTTCATCTTCTGACACCGACGTCATTAAAACAGAGCTTGTAAGAATATTCTAAAGGGAAAGGAATCATTTGAAATTTCAATGGGGTGGGATAATCCAGGAGCGAACTAAACCTAAGTCTAGAGAGTAGATTACTAAGAGATGATATACATCAGCATGAAGAAATGCAAGCGTCTGCCAGAAATTCCTTGCCCTCTGAGCTAAAGGGAGCCAACTCTACACTGGCCTCTCACCCCATTGTTGCAAATGTCACCAAAACAATAAAAAGGCGGGAGGTTTTGTGTACATGCCATATGCCTAGATTTAGGCGGTCCCACCTAAATCTAGGCATATGGCATGTACACAAAACCTATTTACTAAATGAACTTATTAATCCATGCTTCTAAAAATAAGAGGTGTACTAATGAGAACTCTTTATGTTAGATATTGGCACAGAAGTGTTTGAGATCTATAAATCACAGTAGTCCAGTACAATGGTGAAAGTGTGGCCTTAACAAACACACTTTCACAGTCCTCGTGAAGCACCACCCAGTTAAGTTTCTAATATTGAGCAACTAAATCGCTAAGTTACCCAGCGGCACAGTTGGTATAATGAAAGGGAAAATGTTACTAACATTTTGAGGATTACAGGAATTAATTCAGCTAAAGCCCTTGAACTTGTACTTACCGGTTAGCACACACTGAGTAAACATGAACCATTTTCCTTGGCTCTGATTGTCCATAAAATATAGGAGACAGGTTCAGTGACAGAATTCAATAATAACCAGAGCAAGGTGACGAGCTTCTGCTTTGCATCCATGGATTCACCAACCAAACCACTCAGACAGAAAAGTGCTCTTCACACAGCATTTGCACACCACATGAGATAGGAGTGAATCCACAAGCGATTTAAAGTATATAAGAGGATCGCATGGGCTACATGCAAATACCGTGCCATTTTAATTAAAGAACGGGAACATCTGGTATGGGGCCATTCTCCTGTGGCTATGGAAGAACCCCTATGGTAGGGCCTAGAATGCCAAGTATTTGCTACACACCATGACTGACACCACCCTACATACCCCATGGAACCAAAAACAGATTGCTTAAGTAGGAGGAAATACACAACATTGAGAAGACAAAGCAAATGCCAAAGAATCGTGTGGCTGTGAATATTTAGAAACCGGGTGACACTAACGAGTGAGTGCTGAAGGCACTGTGGTCCCACAGGCCACACACAGGACTCCACGGGTCACATGATCGCAGAAGAGTCAATGCCCAACCTGAGACTTACCGGGGTATCTGCCACAGGAGATGCCTGGGCGAACAGCTGGGCGCTCAGACTGTTCCCTTCCCAGTGGTTTGAGCAGAAGAAATTTCCCGCTTTATCAGTTGGTGACTCCACCTGAAAGCAAACAGGAAATACTTTGTTATGGAAGAGACTTCCGGGAAACATTTGCTCTCGGGTGTAAGTTTCTATCCAGTCTTCCGCACACAAAGCCTGGCACGGAAGGAAAGGGAATTTGGCGTGTTGGAAATGGCTCTTCCCCATAAGCTAACGCTTTGATTCCTGATGGTTAAAATTTCTTTCTGTTGTGCTTGGAAACTCCTGTTCTCTAAGGGCACATGCCACTCAGGGCAACTTGAATCTATATTCTTTGGCCCTGGTCATTCTATCTTAGAATAAACTATTCCTTAGTCATTAAAACGGACGATAGGAATGAATCCGTCATCTATCTCCTGTCTGTCTATCTCTGTCAGTCTGTCTGTCTATCCATCCACCCTTCCATCCCCCTCTACTGATAAACCAGCCTGCCTCCATCTTGGGCTTGAAAGATAGCTTATAGTAAAGACAAACTAGGTCATTCCTGCTGTGATTACATCTCTGTGCCTCAAGGATTGGGCTCTGTCCCACCTGTGACCTTAACTACAAATGGTTCTGTACTGTCTGTTTCAGGAAAGGACAACCATGCCTTTGGTTCAAAAGTTGTTATGACCACCTTGCAAATATGTCTTTGTTTCAGGAGGTTGTTATGACTTACGCTTGCTATATTATGCTTTTGTTCCGCTTCTGTAACACTGCCTGCCAGATCACCCATTTGGAAACCCCCTCCTCCTGAGCTATAAAAACTCTTATTTTCCCCTTGTCCAGTGTTGACCTCTTGAGCCCTGTCTTAGGGAGAGACAGCCCATGTACAGGGAGAAAAAAATCTTGTTTTAATTAATTTGGCCATGATTTGGGTTGGTGGTGTTAGGATCCTGCTCTCTCTGGCTGCACTCCGGCACATGCGCAGCTCGGGGTCTGGCGTCTTATGTCATCGCGGGCACGGGCGACTACGTACCTGCAGTGCAGTCATGCAATCCCCGCCTTAAAAAGCTGGACGCCGACCTCTACCCCCCTTCTTTCTGTTTCCTCTCTGCTCTCTGCTCTGCTCCCGGCTTCCCTCCCCCCGCCAGCCTGGCTCCTCCATCCAATCCCCTCTTCTTTCTCATAAAGCTCTTTATAACTCTGGTAGTCATGCCCATGACTTTTCCGCCAGTAACCAGCGCCGTATACCCATCAGGTGGTCTCTCTACTTACATCTATGTGATCAACACGGTCTATCCATCATCAGTAATTTCTGAAGGTAGAGCATAGACCTGCTGCCCCTTCTTCCTTGACCCTCTCTACCATCTTTTCACTCTAAAGGAGTTAATGGAGGTGGATTTCCAAATGGAAGACTGGAGTCCACAGCACAGCAGGGCCTTTCAACTTTTTTTTTTTTTTCATGAACGTCTTTTTTTTTTTCATCACTAAGAACCGATGTCAGGCTTACCTCCTGCTTGATTTTCTTCAGTAGTGGGGGTCCATTCTCTTGAAACTCAGCAACAACTCCCGATTCGTCAGATTCCTGCTTGATCACGTCCTGCAGGTCTTCCACCAAGTGAGAGGGTGTCTGAGGCTGAGGGAAGAGCGCATGTTTCTGGATCAGAGGAAACTTAATGTCTACCCGCACACACCCACTCAACCCAAGGACCTCTCTCGAACTTACTAGCATCTTCAGGGGACCGTATTTGATTTCTTGAGCGGCGAGCGCGTGTTTGAATGGCGTGGGTGTTCTCGGGGAGCTTTCAAGGATTGATCTTTTGATAGCTGGAGTTCTAAAGCTAAAGAAGAGAACAGTCAAAGGCTCAACAAAAAGACACGCGCTGCTTGCTTACATCACCCTGAGCACATAACCAACAGCTGGTCGTGACATTCGCTAAGGGATAGTGGATCTGCATTAAGTTACATCGCAGATCTACAAATATTTCAAAATACTATGTCCTAAGACTAAGAGCACTGAAATAGTTCTCCTCTCTTGAGAACGGTCCTGGAGACACAGGTAATGGCCCTGGATCTGTGTAATGACCAAAAGCACTGGGAATATCTGGTATCACTTGCAAATCAGTCTTACAGACTCCCTTAAATGAGGCCAAAACTAGAAAACATGGCAATGTCTAAAACTTTGTTTTTATTTGGAAGTAATAAGAAGGCTTTTCTTTCAAAGAATATATTTTGTTTCAATTACTCAATCACTCAGGCTTTGAAAGATACACACACACACACACACACACACACACACACATTCATTCCTGTGATTATCTAAAGAGATCCATATATACATATATATATATGAAATAAAAAAGAAAAAAAATAAGGTTAAAAAAATATAAACTATGAAGCATTCTCAATTCTACTCCGAATGCTTTAATTTTTTTTAAAGGACACTGAAAAATAGTGGGGGGAAAAAACTGGGTGGGAGTAGTGTGTGAAAACCACCGCTGTGTGCATTTAGAGCACACTACGAAAAGTAACTAAGCTCATTTCTGTCTTTCTTCCCTGGTTAGTTAGTCGTATCGTGCCCCGGATATAGTCACTGTGGGAATGCACAGGATACACACAGTGAATGAATGACGTGTATGCCAGGGGCTCGGACTTCTGGGACTGTATTTTCATTAATGTAAATAAATAAGATAAACACTTTTTTTTTTCTTATTGAGCTGAGGACTTACATGGAATTTTCCTTCTGGGGTTTCACAGTCTGGTCTCTGTGACACGGCGTTGTTAGTTTGTGACCGCTGAGAGGAGTGGGGGATAAAGAAGGCCCATCTAAGCCCGAGTTTTCGTGGTTGCTGGAAGTGTTCAAGAACTGGATACGGAAGGAAGAGAGAAAAAAATAACGTAGATGAAATAACGAGTCTGTGCTCACCCCAACTTGAAGCCAAACCCAGAGAGCAAGCAAGGATACTCTAGTGACTCAGGACCCCAAACACTGACAACCCTAAGAATCCTGCTGTGTTGATGAGGATACTGATTCCCTTCAACTGAGCAGCCAAAATTCGAAGGGTTATTTATAAGCAACAAAAGTCTAGGGTCAAAGTTAAAACCTTGCAAGATTCAAAGAAAATCTTCTCCATAAATGACACTTGCCACTAAAGAGAATGGGATGTGCTCTTGACTAACATTAAAAGGATTATTATTTTACTCCTCCTTCATATTTAGTTTTCTCATTTTAATGATCTAGTAACTTAGAGTAATATTACACAAGGTTTGCATTATGTGGGAAATCACAGAGTAAGAACCTATATCTCTCAGAATCCTGATGTTCCCAAGAAAAATAGGTTTGGGAAGAGTAATGGATCTTAACTCCTGGGAAGACCCGATACACATCAGCACACTTAAAACTCTCAGGGAAGCCAGGCATGGTGGCTGCTCCCTGTAGTCATGGTCACTCAGAGGCACGAAGGTTTCTAGAGCACAGGGGTATGAGGCAAGCCTGGGCAGCATAAAGGCTCTGTCTGCAATTTGAAAAATTAAAAAAATCCAAACAAAAACAAAGTCTGAGGGGTACTCCAGTAAAGAAGCCTTTCAAAACATTGAGTTAGCGTTCCAAACTTTTATATCTATTTAGATTTTTCTCCCCTGAGAGATCCTTTAGGTCTTGCAGAACGAATTTCACAGAGCACCATTTAGGAAAATATGGGAGAAAACAAAACAAAACAAAAAACCTAAATCTGTATTTTGGTGGATGGGAAGATCATTTGTCTATACTTAAAGTCTTTTTAAAACATGTCCAGGAGTATATATAGCTCAGTGGTAGAGCACTTTCCTAATATGCACAAGGCCCCGGGTTCGATTTCGAGAACCACAAAAAATAAAATAAAGTAAAACAAAATACAAAACCCTCAACAGATATAACTGGGGAAAAATGTCCTACAGTGCCAAATTGTCTCTTAATTATAATTTGGGAACACGTGGCTCTGCTAAGCATTATAATGTTCATACCTTAAGAGCGCTATATGAAAATAAGAATATTCTTTGGCAAACATGCCCTAGTAAAATGCCCTGGCAAATTTTGAAAGAACCAATGTTGAAAATGTTAAATTATTTTGCATAAGCATCTGTTTCTTATTGTCTCCCTAAATATTTCCACTTCCAGATAGGTTATGATGGTTTCGTTTTCTCATTGTAATCCAAATGTTATGTAACCATAATTTGGTTCCCTCCTCCCCGGGGTCAGTAAATCACTTAGTAATAAATGAACAAAGAGGCAGAAAACATGTTAAAATTTAAGGAGGGAGGGACAACATGGGGGACGAGGAGGGGACGGAAATGTCCCGTTCTAGCAGAGAAGGAAATGAAAGTACATCTCATGCAACTATCTATCTTCCAAACCACCAAGAGTCAGAGAGAGAGAGAGAGAGAGAGAGAGAGATGTGACAGATCCATCCATCAGCCTGCAGCCAGCCTGAACTCAGGGAGGCCATCTGCAGTCACCCCAGCTAGATCCGATGCAGAGTTAAATCGGCCAGGACAGCAGTCGTTAGTGATTTGTTCAAGAGATTAGTCTCTAATTATCAAGGCTCAGGTGTCCGCTGAAAATTAGTAACAGCTGTGCAGAAACTGTGGTCTACCTGAGTGGGAGAGAAGGGTAAGCTTTTCACAGGGGAATGCTTGGGAGTTGAGGTGCTGATGTCAGCAGAGAGGAAGGAGCTAGAGTCTCCCGTGGCTAAGGGGCTGGCCTGGCCCCGCTTTTTTCGAAGGATGACCAGTGGAACAATGCTGTGCCTCGCAAGAGGTAAGGCTTTGGCTGGGCCAGGGGACGCCTCCTGGCTCAGCCCTGGGCTGTTCACCCTCAGGCCAGGCTCTCCTGAAGGTCTAGTCCCACGGCCCTCTCTTTGCTGAAGCTGGAAGGCTTTGCCTGTGTGCTGTTGGCTACGAGAAAAAGCTGCTTCTTCTTCAGAGAATGCAAAACTGCTGAGATCACACCATGAAGACTCCTGAAACAATGTGGGAGGCACAGAGCTTTGAGACAAGATGTGTGCGGGCGAGGAGAGTCACCATCACCCGCAACACAGCACTGAGTGGGGGATGCCGCAATGCAAGAAAACACTGGGCCTGTCTGCTGGATGTCCAGCTCACGGGTCACAGCGGTCCGGAGGTGACCTTGCATATCTCCTGTGGGGAGCTCACCCACTCTCTTTTGCATGCAATTTAAAGCAAGCAGAAAACCTTTCTAGATGACACATTGTGGCAATATATCTTTTTAACCATGTGTAGGCAAAAAATGCTTTTTAACTAACTAGGTGACCGGGAAAATGAACTGTTGGTTGAACTTAAAGTTGTTTCATTGAAGATAGTTTATTTCCGTGAATCAATGAGATGGTTAATCAACGTTCAGTACTCTGAAAGAGAAAGCCATGTCCCACCCTTGAGCTGAAAGACTGTCTTAAGCTCCAGGGAAACATAATTCCAAATGTGCTGTCTAAAAACAAACAAACAAACAAACAAAAAACAAACCAAAACAACAAAAGCAAAACAAAACAAAAACAAAAAAACCAGCAAAGAAAAATTTCTAGAGAATCACAAAGAAGTAAGCAAAATACAAGAAATTCTGTTTAAAAATAGCTCAGACACAGTGCTTATCCTGAGCCCTTCTTGGTAAGTCAGAAATTCATTATTTTTTTTAAAGGAATTCACATTTGGAAGGCAAAATATGGAAAGCTGCCTCTTGTGTGGCTAGCATAGGACGTCAGGCTGCTGAGCGAAATGGGATCATCAAAACTACGGTCCTTTCACTTTACGTGAACGTAGGCCCAGAGCATACTTGCTCTCGAAAATGGCAATGACTTATGTTAATCAGTTCTCAATTCCTCTTCCAGAGACAGTAACGCGCCTTAGCAATTCTACTTACAGAATCTATAAATTGGAGTGTTTCTGCAAATTCTAAGAGGTTCTTAACGTTATCCAGAATGGTGCCCTGGTGGACGATCATGCACCTGGCTGGCGAGGCGCTTTCTTCAGGTAGAGAGCCAGGATCTGCAGGCAGAGAAGGAGTGGAGGAGTGGTGGTCTCCCAAACAGGAAACAGGTGCACTGTCTCCATGAGGTCTGGTCTGGTCCACAATGGAGGTGCTGTGCCACCCAGGGTAGCTGCAAGTGTGGTTCTGTGTCTGAGGAAGGGGGTGTGTAGAAATAAGGATGGGAGAAGAAAGGAAGAAGAAACTTAGCAACAATGTTGCACAAGGTATTAGATGCTGTTGGAGGCAAGATAAAAAAAAGTAGTTGCTTCATCCAAACTCAGGCCCGCCAGACAGTTGTCAAGATGTTTCCTTTCTGACCTCTTTGCAATAGCCCTCTAGTTTATAACTACAGGATTGCTTCAGCTGCCGTGGTGTTAGTCCAATGTAAAACCTGGGGACTGCTAGAAAATGCACAAGTCTTGGAGTGTTTGAGAAATCCATTTGAGTTTAATTTGCAAACTGCCCATGTTTGCTGTGACTTAACAATGATCCTATTTGCATTCAAAGCCATTGAGAGGATTTGATGGTGAGAGCTGCTTTTATCTGTACATATCCTGTTGCTTCTATTCTTTTTTTTTTAAGGCTACAGGTTGCACTGACGCAAGGTGGGGCTGCAGAGTGTATGTGGTTAGGAAAGTAGATCAAGTTAACAGAAATCCCCTTAGGACCATGCAAGAGGAGAAACTGCAAAATATTAATTACAGTTCAAAAGTGGTTGAACTCCCATATGCATGCTATTTTATTATTTAACAACAACAACAACAACAACAGAAAAGAAATTCCACCGGAAGAATCCCTGCCGGGTATCGCTTCTCCCAAACCCACTTTTTGGGTAGACTACATATGCTCCAAAGTGCAAGCTGCTTTCCCAGTTTGCTGCCCAATCGCGGATTCAGACATGGCCCACATGAGGGTTAGTGCTGTGGCTCAGGGGAAGAGTGCTACCTAGCATGTGAGAGGCCCTATGTGCAATTGTCAGTACAAAAAAGGAAGGGGTGGGGGTATCGGGGAGACGTCTCAGCCTGAACGGTGATTGCTATGCAAACAGAAGAATCTGAGTCTAATCCACAAGCACACACAGCAGATCAAGTCTGTAACCCCAGTGCTGGGGGTAGAGATGAGCAGAATCTTGAGCTCATTGGCCAGCAAGTCTAGCCAAATGGGCAAAACTCAGGTTTCAAAACATGAAAAAAAAAATGAAAAAAATTAAATTTTGAGACTGGGTCTCAAAATATAAGGTGGATGGCCAGCAAGATGGCTAGGCAGTTTAAAAAAAAAAAAAAAAAGAGCCCGTGGTAGAAGGAAAGAATTGATTCTGGAAAGTTGTCCTCTTACCTCCTAAAGTGCGTGTGAGCCTGTGTGCACACACAGACACAATTATAATAAAAATTTTGATCTAGAGGTCTATCAAGGAAGACACTTGATGTCAACCTCTGGCCTGGACACATGTGTGCACATACACCTGCATGCACATGTGCACACACCTATGGGAACATGTGTGTGTATACAGAAACACACTATCACTACCAATAGGAATGGGCCTCACAGCTTTCATACATGCAAATGAAAGATATTTGAAGAAGTGGCTTATGTATATATTCCTTTTTTTACATGTATATATGAAATATGCATCAAATTGATTTTGAGACTGTAAACTATGTAAATACGGGCTAAGAAAATAACAATAAAAGAAGAAGACTCAAGCAAATGAGCACTGCATGTATATAGAGCTTTGCTAAAATGCATAAAATGAAGATTGTTCAGATCATTTTATCTTTCTTAGTCTTCAAATTGATGAACGTCCTTTTGAAGGAAACAATGGGATGCTGATGGTCACAAGTGGGTACTGTGGTCCTGTTATAAAACAAATGGCTAGGCTACTTCTGATTCGGTTCATGCACATTCTGAGACTAGTGGACTTTTATTAGTCGCAAATTCTGGTGTGAGCATTGTTAGCGGATACACAGAACTTGGCTGGCACAGTCTTTGCAAGAGGAGAAACAGGATAGAGAAGAGTTGCTGAGATAAAGCTTCCCATCACATGCTAATGCTCTTACTGGTAACGTCTGCTGTCCTTTGAGCTCATTTTCCGTTGACATCAGGAGCAATTCTAATTCCTTTATTCGCTTTTCTTTCTCGGGGTCTTCATCATTATAGTGTCTCTGGAGTTACAAGTGAAGCAGGGAAAGACAAGGTCTGAGTGAGGTACCTTACACAACCCAGAGAGCTTGCATGTGGAACCACCCCCCACACAATTCACCATCCCTTGCTCAAAGTAATATGGGACTTAAGGCAACCAGGAGAAAGGAGAGGCCAGAGCACATGCTCACAGATGCATCAGAAAATTCCAGAAGCCACCATTGGTAAATGGCTGTCCCAAAGTAGGTCCTCAATGCTGTTAGCTTTTCTTTTCTATTTACAATCTTTTCTATTACAGTTTGTAAAATATGTGCTTATGTGGAAGAAGTAAAATATTCTTTAAAAGCGGTGTCTTGCTCAGCTAACGGGTTTGCCCGTCAGACAATCTCACCTGTATGGCTGCTGCAGCTGGCTGAGGGACATTGACTATATTTACATGCAACGCTACAGGATATGGAACGTGACTGGAGACCTAGACCAAAAAGCAAGACAAAGACCAAGTCATTCACACTTACAGGTGCTTCAGGGGGGACTCATGTGTTCTGGGACTGAGGGGGGAAAAGGACTTAGTTGATAAAGGTTGCTGAATGATTAAATAACCCAAACAAAACTTCTCTAACTTGAAATTTAGCCATTTATAAATGGCTGAGTAGTTCAAGAAACAGGGAAAGAAGCCCCAAGGGTCTTTCTATCCCAACAGAAAGCATTCCTCAATCAGAGAAAGGAACAATGGAAAAAAAGTATTCACGGATATGTGAAAGAAGTTTTGAGAGACCTCCATACCACTGGCTGTTTGTCACCAGGGATATTTTTCTTAGAGTAATGTTGAGTTTTAATAAAAAGCACAGAAGCTTTTATGATAATTCATTCACCGGAGACCTTTCTGGAAATTCTGTAGTCAAATCTAAGAAATGGATAGAGCCAAGTAACAACTATTCATGAATATGTTTTACATAACATTT